GAAGTACATGAAGAGGTTGTTTTCTAGATATGCTTAAAGAGTTATTTTGATAAAGTTTTGTTTTGTCGTCCCATTTATGCTTATAAGGTTATCTTTGGCGCACATAAAGTTATCGGTTTGAGGGGGATGAACCAGTTGCTCATGATCCGATGGCCGGTACGCCTATGGAACTCTTAAATATCTCGACCATACTTTCGTCGGACCATCCAGAAATTGCTGAAGAGCAGGATGCAAATACAGCAGGGTCAGATATTTCTCATTTTGTCTTTTCTAGCGCTAACATTGATTTTTTTTTTTACAAAAGGACAGGTATTATACTGCTGCTGCGAATAACGTTGCCTTCTTAGAAATGTGATCGCGCGAAATACTTCGGGTAGCACAACTGGGGGCAAAACTAGCACATCGTCATTTACCAAACTTTCTGATGATGATGGAGCTGCCGAAGGAGCACAAGAAGGGGGAGATGGCACTGATGGCGATAAAGTTGGCGGTGGTGAGTGACGCTTTTGCACTAAGTAAATAATTTATTACAAATATTAGATTTCTAGCGTTGATTACTTCATGCGTCGATTCGGGCATAGGAGGTACAATCTCGACGCATAGTGAGCTGAGCACTTTATGCTTTTCACCCATGGCTGAATCCACTCCTAAACCGCAAACGAGGGCGTCTGCAGGAGAAAAGAGCAAGTTGGTGAATTCTTTGTTAGCTTGGATCTTTGAGCTTCTAAAAGTAATCTCTAGGCGTAAGTTGTCGCAAGGATCCTCATTCGATGACGATATCGTATCATTCCTTGATCTTCCAATGGATAGCTCAAGTGATTCTATCACTGACGAATTCTTTGTCTCGAAGTTCATTCTTGCGGAGCAGATATTCAGGTGAATTCCTCTGATTCAAAATACTTTCTTCTACATCCATTTGTGTATTTCAGTGTTCAACTGCCCTCAAATCCGTTGATTCGCAAGCTGAAAATTGTTCCTTCCCGCAACCTTCTTGTGGGCTCATTTATTTTCTCACTTCCTGGCTCATCTGGGACCAGAACAATTCACGCAATATCCTTTTTGATGAATATCCGCAAGTGAGTGTTTTTT